TTTTTCTCCCCTACTCTTTTTTTTGGCTGTGGTGAGGTTGATGATGGGGGACAGCTGGTGGAATAGCGGTCAAAGAATAACAGAAAAAAGGAATATAATAATTTCTCTCTCCCTAACTCACACTATCTGTTCATATTTACCTGTATGTTTGTTTGGCTTGTGTGTTTCTTTTTGTATTTGTATTCTTGTATGCATGCATATATTCTTGTGTGTGATGGTGGGATATGTGTGTTTTTCTTTTTTTTTTCTTCAAACACAATGAGTGGTAGTATACTTGTATTTTATAGATACAAAGAAGGGCGGACATTCATTCATACATACACTTACATGACAGCAATAAGGCGAAATGGAGGTAAAGGGAAAAAAGAAAAAAAAAAACTAATAGGAACAATAGGTTGAATGAAGAACGATAACTGTACAAAAAAAGAAAAAAAAAAACCATCTCACACACACACTTCTGGAAAAGAGTGTGTTTAATTCAATCTTTTTTTCCTTTTTCTTTTTCATTCAATGCCTTTTTTTTTCTTCCTCTTTTATTTATTTATTTACGTGTTTACTACCAAAATGGTAAATTCAATTAGAAAGAAGAGAAAAGAAAAGGTATTGCAACTCTTTCTTACTCGTAGTATTATTATTATTATTATTATTATTATTATTATTATTATTATTATTATTTAGGAATTATTAACTCAGAGGCGAGAGCAAAGAAAAAATAAAAAAAAGAATGACTGGTAAAGAAGGAAAGGTCCTGGTGTGTGATTTACCAATGATGTATCCACGCGATCTGCTGCGGTTTGAGCGGGAGGGCGGTGTGTGGGGCGAACAGTGGCGAGTGCGCCGCAAGCAACTCTCCGCCGCGTTGACGGTCTCGGCCCTCTCGACACTTCTCGGCTCTTATTACGTCGTCACCCGTCGAAATACGGGCTTTGTGCTCTTCAGCACCTTCTCTGGTTTCTCCGTTTTGGGCTTCTGCGTTGGCGGCGCCCTCGCCCCGCTGGTGTACCCGAACGTCGCGAACAACCGCGAGACGTCCATGATGCGGCGGGTGTGGTGGGCGAAGGAGTGTGCGCGGCACTGGGACTACTCGCAGGTGCAGGAGGACACCTGGCACGCGGAGTACCCACACGCCCAGCTGCCAGAGGGAAAGAAACGGACAGGAGATGCGATGTAGTGTGTAGAGACATGATGATGATGATAAGAAGAAGAAGAAGAAGAATGAAGATGATAGTGATGATGATAGTGAAGAGGATTTGTTTTTTTTTTTTTTTTTCCTTTTTTTTTTCTTTTGAGCGGCTCTGGATGAGGGCATAGTAAGTGTGTGTGTGTATGTGTGTGTTTGTTTATTTATTGGTGTGTGAGAGAGTTTCTTTATTGGTCTATCGCCTGATTTATTTAGAGGAAATACATTAGGAAGAAGGAATGGAAGGTGGGAAAGGAAAAAAAAGAAAGAAAGAAACAAAAAAAAAAAAAAAAAAAAATCTTTTCTTAGTATACACAAATAGTACAAATTATATTTCTTATGTCGGAGAACACTTAGGTGGTAATATTTCTGTACGAGGGCACATTGTTCTTCTTCTCACTTTTTTTTTTTCTTGTTAACATGTGGACATGGCTGTTTATAAGGGGAACTGGACTTGTATACAGGTATGTTAACAGAGCGAAGATACATACATATCAGGGGCATCAGAATAGAAGTGAATGAAATATATAAAGAGGGAAGAATAATGTTTGTTTGTTTGAGTTTTCTCTCTTTTCTTTTTGAATACGTTTATCTTTGCAAGGTTGTTTTATTTTTTAATTTTTATTAGTGATGACGCCAGAATTTGCATTTCAGGGTGTAATATCTCTCATTCATTCATTCATTTACTCACTTTATTTATATTTTTCTGATATATATATATATATATAATGGGGGGAATGGATGTTACCTGATGATATGAATAGAAGTTTCTTTCTCGCTCCCCTTCCTTCCTTCTCTCTCTCTCTCTCTCTCTCTCTCTCTTTCACCTTTTGTTGCTGTGATCGTTATGCTGTAGTTATTATTACTGTTGTTATTGCAATTATTATTATTATTAGTATAACTATTATTATTATTATTATTGCTCTTTTACTGAGATTCGTGT